TTTTGCTCATTGAATTTACCTTTACAGGGCTGCGGCATAAACAAATTACTTTTTCTCTCTGAATATCAATATTACATGTTCTATCAAAAAAGTTCCTATGAAAAAGAATTATCCAAGGAGGCTCCCTCTGTATGACTTCCTTCCATATTCTCAGCCAGTTCAAAAGTATCACACTGCATACCTATGCCTCCTCCCTGAGAACTAGCTTTAATGCAGAGTATTGAAGAAAGTGCCTTGCCATAGAACAGAGTACTGAGTTTTGCATACAGCAGTCACTAAATAAATAGTTGATGAAGTCACTTGAGTATGAATCTTTGTATTATCCCTACTTGACTAAAATAATTAGAGCCATTTTTCACGTAGTTAGTCAAAGATAATAACAACGGCCAAGGTTTTTGCTATACTGGATATTTATTTCTGCCTCAGTTTCCTGTATCTGCCTATTTGCCTACTTACAGTTTTGAGTTATCACCTAACAACCTGATAATCACATAACAAATACCACCAATGACTATCTGTTTGTTCTCTAACTGCACCTTGGAAGAAAATTTATTGTCTTGTACTGAGAAAAGGTTAAAAATTTGTTTGAAGACAAAAATACTTCCAGGTAGAACAAATAGTTCATTTGGAAATCTTTTTTTATTATTATCATTTAATACTTTATGCTTTATAGGCACAAATTCATTTTTAAGCAATGCTTGTGGAGCTTTTAATTTAAATTTTCAACTCTGAATAATAGTTGACATTGAAATTGTTCAGCTGTGTTACACAGTCTTCCTTTACAAGAGAAAAATATTCCTTAAAGACAAGCTACCCACAAAATCGTGTAGAATTAAACGATGATCTCCCAATTGTCTCAGTCTTTGTCAGATTTGACTTATGGATACACTGACTTTGTAGGTAAAAAAGAAGTGTAAGGTGTGTGTGTATAAAGTATTATCCATGCAAACATAATGTATTTTTTTATTTAAGTTTACACACTTCAATATACATGGGTGTTGTTCTTAAAAATATGAAATGCAAAGTGAAAGATTCGATCTATCAAAATGTGACAAATGATACAGTGATAAATGCAAATTTCATGGTCAATACTAAAAGACCAAAAATGTCCTTCTGCCATTGTCCGTGTTTTATCTATTTTTAAAAACCGTAGGGAGAGAAATACTCTCAGGAAAAAAAAAAAGAAAAAATGAAGCTTTACTGCAAAAGAAATGAACGCAGGAAATGGCACTTAAAGTAGTGAAGAGATGTGAAGCATTGCAACTTCATAACCTGCTAAGAAGCAACAGCTGTACTTAATTTCAACTTGACGTGCTTCAGATCTCATATTCATATAGATATTTAATGATCCAAACATAATGGTCCTATATAGAATAATTACTTACATGGAGGAGCAAAACTTCATACGCATTCCTTTTTAAATGATCCTTCAAGAGAAAAACTGCACTGGCTCTTTGAACAACGAATAGCCTCTTTCACCAATTCAAATGTTTGGGACTAAATACCTTATGTTTTAAAAGAGAAAAATTAATATCGCTGAAGTTACTTCTTTTTGACAGACTCCTTTTGTCTCCCCTCTTCCCAGAATAGCCAGTACAGTGAAAAAAGGTAGAATGCCAAGCCAATCATTAAGTCATAGTGGTAGATGGTTACAAGAAATATCAGAAACAAAAGGAAATAAGGTATTTTAGAGTTGATGTATTTTGAAAGCAGAGATTCGCTGCTTTGAGCTTGACTTTCTTCAGCCGGGGGACTAGCGGAGGCAGAATTTTCATATTCCTTGTCACCTGAAGAGCATAATGATGGTTCAGAATTTAGTAACCCTTCATTTCCATGCCTTGCCTCTTCCTTGCTCTCAAAAGGTTCACTGATTAAAATCACTGGCGCTAAAGACTCTTCC